AAAAGACAGAGGTTGGTTTATTTTTCAACTCTCAGCCCCTCTTCCAAAGACAGAGCCTACTGATCAAACAGTGCAGATCCCAGGAAGTAGAAGTCTGAGGCCCAAGGTCAGATTTAAGCAGCAAACCACGTTCAGATTTCACCAAGGTCATAACTCAAGGTTCATGTATGTCCTCAAATCCCGCTCCCAGGCCCTGTCCTTCTCCTCTTGCCTTCTTTCCTCCTTCCGGGTTAGTGTGGCCACCCGAGGAGCTCTCTCCCTCCCAGCCACAGCCCGGGTGTCCCAAGCCAGAAAGTGTGTGACTCGGGGCTGGGGTGCTGACCTATAGCCTAATCCTTCTTGGTCCCTCTTGAGGACAGTGGGGATGGGGTTGGCACGGCCCTCACCCCGGGGTCCTAGCCCCATTCCTGGCTCCCAGCCTCCCCTCAGCAGCAGCTTAAATCCTGGGCTTGAGGTGGGCACCCCAAGGGGAAGGCTGGAGGGCCGGGGACCCTGGGACAATGACAACAGGTGAGCAGTGGATGTACGGTGGTTGGAATCTTGGAAGTGGGCGTCACAGGTCTCACAGTACTGGGGGGATGGACCGGAAGACCTGCAGAGAAATAAAGAAAAGATTAAGAGCAAGGAAAGTGAAAGCGGAAGAGTTAAGGTGTCAGAGGGTGATGACAGGGTAGAAAAGCTAGCTTTCTGATTAAGGAATAAATTGCCTTCCTATCCACCTAACAGTGAAGGACTCAGAAGAATATAATTGAGAGAAGAGATGGTAACCAGGCCTCACAGGCTCTGGAGCAAAGGAGGAATAGTAATAACTATAGCTAACATTCATCTAGTGCATACCATGTGGCAAACACTGTTCTAGCATTTTACATGCATTAACCCAATGAAGAATAACAACAACCCTATGAAAAAGGTATTCTTATTATTTCCTTTTCTTAGATAAACAAACTGGGACATTGTAGACAGATTTTTGCCCAAGTAGAATCAATAATTTAAACCCAGAGAGCTCATGTTTACAACCACTTAACTACAACCCTTATCAACCCTCATTGGAGAATGAAGAGGATGAAAGAACCCTTCAGCTCTGTTCTGGGACTCTGGCATGGATGGCTAGGAAGGGCAAAAAATACTGAAAGATGGATAGGAGCTAGGGTTTCCCCTCACCCATTCTCTGGGCTTCTTGTCTCTCCATGGCTCTCCCTGACCATGCGGGCCACCTCAGGGAAGCCAGCTTCTTCAGCCAACTGAGCAGCATCCCTGCCACCAAGTTCACAGACCCCAACCCAGGCAGCCCCACGGCCCAGGAGGTAGCTCACAGCTGCCACCTGGCCTGCTCGAGCTGCACACATCAGGGGGGTCCACCAGAAGGCATCCCGAGTGTTGATATTCCCCCCAGCACCCCCTGCCTCATGGGGCTCCAATAGTCTTCGAAGTTCTGCCAGGTTCCCCTCCTGGGCTGCCCTCAGTATCCACTGGGTCATCTTGTCCTCAGCCTCCAGGGATCTCCCTTGTCCACGTCTTCCTGATGTTCCTGCTGCCACTGCTGCTGCTGCAGCCTCCCTCATCATTCTTCTTTTCTTCCTTTTTCTTTCCCTGGCAGGTTCAGGCTGAGTCTTCTGGGACTCAGAGGCACTGCTCTCACCCCCAATCAGGGCCTCATAGAAAGCTCGAGCTGCAGCCCCATCCAGGGTGGGCTCTGGCTCCTTAGGCTGCAGCTGCTGTTGCCCATCCTTCCAGAGGTCACTAGAGTCGGTGGCTGGGGTGAAGTTGATGAGGGAGGGTCTGGACATGGCTTTTGGTAGAACTGAGAAAATGAGACCAGGCAAAGGAGAATGAGTCAAGCAAGCCAAGCCCCTGATGGTCCCTGCAGTGACTAGAGCCACCTCTAGGAACCTGTTGGGATGAAAAAAAGTAGTCTCAGCGTCAAAAACACCCTCCTGCCCTCAAAGTGACACCACAATCAAGAACTCTGCAGGGACCAAGGGTTCACATGTAAAAAAAGAACCCTACAATAACTGATCCTGCCCCTTAGTAAAAATTAATAAAGAAAACTCCATGAGATATTTGTCCAGAGATCTCATGTTCTGCTCCTACCCCCATCCTCATCCCCACCAATACGTAAGACCAGTCTCTCTGAACCACTTTCCCATCCCCAAGACGTACCATTAAAAAAAAACCATCCTGGCCCTTTAAATTTTCCTCTGTTCCATTTAGGGATTTCCTTTGCCTAAACAAAATAGGTATGACACTTCTCTCTCCAAGAAAGGCTCCCGTTTGTGTTCCGCTGCGCAAAGTGACGCTATTCTGATAAAAAGAGTACACAATCAAACAGCCTCACAGCACGAAAACGCATGCATTGCAACAACAAAACCACCCACATTACTTGAGCGCGCAGGCGTTCGCAAAGCGCCCAGTTCGGTTTCCCTCTCTGGAACTTTTCCTCTAGCATTACGCACAAGCATCGCGTGCCCAGGTAGCGCGAGCACCCGAGAGGATCTGTCGGTTGGGGTCCTACTTTTACATAACGCCCCCACAATGCCCTTCGCCTTTCTCAACGTGGTCCCCGCTCCAAACTCATTTCCTGGAGGTGGGAAACCACTCTCTGGGTTAAGATAGGCCCTGAGAAGGCGGAGGGAAACCTGTGGAATGCCGAGAAGCTGTGAAATGAAATAACGTCACGCTACCCCTCACCATTACCCCGATCAGGGCTCGAAGGTTACACGTAGAGCCCAAGAGGAAATGGAGAAGTGCAAAGGAACGAGCAGCAGAATGGCTGGCGCCACCTCAGGTTAGCACAGTGGGCAGTTCCGATTCTCACACCGCTTAGCTCAGCCCAATACATACAACCCAGGTGTCTTAGCACGAAGCCCAGCCGCACCTCCCTCCTCAGGAGACCGGGGTAAAACACGGAGTCGTGGTCTCCGGTAGCGGGCCTGACTCGGACTTAGGGGCTCTGCAGACGATAAGGACCCAGCGGATTGGCCGGGGATAGGGTCGGCCCCGGGGTTGCAGCGCTGCGTGGGAGAGAGAGAGGAAATCTGTGAGGGAAGCTGCGGGGTGAGATAGCTCCTGGCTCGCTCCTTTCTCCGCCCCTTCTTGACCCCTTCATCCAGTAAGCACACGACTATATTTCCCAGGCTCCCTGGCCCCGAACGCCAAACTTGACTTCCGCTTCCGGTGGCCCCTCTCTGCACCCCACCCTAGACCTCTTCTCCCGAGGCCTCGCGACACCAGGGTCATGCGCGGGTCATCATGGGATTCGTAGTTCACTTTTGCCTCTTTTCGCCAGTTTTTTTTCCTCTCCGGACTTCATATCCCAGCGTTCACTGCGGCGCTGGGCCCTTGGCGCTTGCGTGTTGCCCTCTTCCCCGCCCTCCCCAATTTCCACTCCCCCCGCCCTCCACTTCGCCTGCCGCGGTGAGATCCGCGGTCTGCGCTCTAGGTCTTGCAGCTGTTTCCTGGAAGTAGCAACTCCCTCTCCCCCACCCCAGTCCTGGTCCCAGTCCTGCTGGTGAGTCTGAGGTCGTCACTGCGCCAAATCCCTTATCGCTGGGCGCGGTACATGTGGTCTTCGCGCTTTAATGTGGAGGCGGGGGAGTAAGCGACCTGGTCTGGCACCGTAGGAAGGAGGGTTGGCCTTGAGGAGCGAAGGCGGGATTGGGGGGCTGTAAATGGGACCTGACGGCTGCCCGCAGGCCATAAGAAAAGGAGGTGCCCAGCTTTTGATTGAGATTAATAAACTTTGAAACCTTCGGGAATGGTGCCCGACGGGACATGCAGAACCTGCAGTTGTAGAGAGCCCGAGTTGACACAGGGGAAAGGGGCCTGGCGCCTTAGGAAGCACCAGGGCTGCCAAGTGGCAGGGTTGGGAGTTGGGTCTGTCGCAGTGGTAAGACCCCAAAGAATTTCTAATTTCAGAACAAAGAGGCTGAGGTGTAGATTTGCGGAGCTGGAGAGGGGTGCTTCAGAGTCTGAGGTCCTTTAAGAAACTTTGGCTCCAAATTATTTCATGGTTGGAGGGCAGTGTGGGAGGAGGGAGGATATCAGAGGCAGGGAAGGAGAGCTTGGGTTTCACTTACACTTTTTTTTTTCAGCTGACGTGAAGATGAGCAGCTCAGAGGAGGTGTCCTGGATTTCCTGGTTCTGTGGGCTCCGTGGCAATGAATTTTTCTGTGAAGTGAGTTTTCTTCAACCTCTCTACTTGCCAGTTCTACATGTTCTCCAGCTAGATGCTCCTTTCCATATTTAGCTTTTCCACATTTCTCTTATGTGCTTAATGGAAACTCCTTCCTGTCAAAGAAGGTTTCCCTCAGTAACTTCTCCACTAACCTGTGGTGAAGTGGCAGTACTGGAGCCCAAGTTCCCTACCCTCCAGCAAAGGGAGTAGTCAGTTTGTGTCATCTTCTTATTTCTAGCATGATGCTAGTAGTACCTATCTCAGATTACTGTTAGGAAAATTGAAATACTACTTATTAAGATGTTTTGTGACTGGCTTGGCGCCTTTAGCTCAAGCGGCTAGGTTGCTAGCCACGTACACCAGAGCTGGCAGGTTTGAATCTAGCCCGGGCCTGCCAAACAACAATGACAACTGCAACCAAAAAATAGCTGGTGTTGTGGTGGGTGCCTGTAGTCCTAGCTACTTGGGAGGCTGAGGCAAGAGAATCGCTTAAGCCCAAGAGTTTGAGGTTGCTGTGAGCTGTGCCAACACAACACACTACCCAGGGCCACAGCTTGAGACTCTGGCTCAAAAAAAAAAAAAAAAAAAGATGTTTTGTGAGGTGTAAAGCTCTGTGTTAATGTAAGGGATTCTAAAACCTTTCAGAAACCAAGCTGTTAAGCTTCTACTGTCTTCAGAGAACCTGCTGTCCCTATAGACAGGACAAAACTGGCTCATAGAGATGGGGGCAGAAGTAGGAACAGGGTTCTTGAAAAGAATACCTCTCTATGGCGGTGCCTGTGGCTCAGGGAGTAGGGCTCTGGCCCCATATACGGGGGTGGTGGGTTCAAACCTGGCCCCTGCCAAAACCTGCAAATAAATAAATAAATAAATAAAAGAATAGCTTTCTAAAAAAGAGTGCTGGGACAGCACCTGTGGCTCAGTGAGTAGGGTGCCAGTTCCATATGCCAGAGGTGGTGGGTTCATACCCAGCTCCTCGCCAAACAGCAACAAAAAATGGCCGGGCATTGTGGCTAATACCTGTAGTCCCAGCTACTCGGGAGGCTGAGGCAAGAGAATTGCCTAAGCCCAAAAGCTGGAGGTTGCTGTGATCTGTGATGTCATGGGCTCTACTGAGGGCAACAAAGTGAGACTCTGTCTCTAATAAAAATAAAACAAGATTGTTGTACCTGTTTATCCTTAGAAAAGCCGAAGCTTTTGGGGGGAGGGGTGGACCAAGGAGAAAGGCTGAAGTACTCTTGCTGAATTGGGAGTAGGAATAAGGGAAATAGATGTTGTGTTGAGGACAAGACATCAGTTAGAGCCTCTTGCCTGGAGTCAAAGCTAGAGGTTTCAATATGGGTTCCCTCTTAACTTCTGTATCCTGACAGGTGGATGAAGACTACATCCAGGACAAATTTAATCTTACTGGACTCAATGAGCAGGTGCCTCACTATCGACAAGCTCTAGACATGATCTTGGACCTGGAGCCTGGTAAGGCAACCTCAGGGTTGTTTTTTGTTTGTGTTTGTGCAGTGCACACATTTTTCCCTCTTTAAACCTTTCTCTATTCACTTGCTTCTCGAGTTTCTTTGTTGAGTGTTTGTTTGTTTTAATTTTGAGGGTACATATGACTAAGTTACATTGTTTGCATTTCTGAGGTAAAGTCTGAGTTGTAGTTGTGTCTTTCACCTAGGAAGTGTGCCATATATCCATACATTGTATTCCTTAGGTGGGAACTGACTAAACACTTTCTACACCCTCCCTACTTCTGGAATTTCTAAGTTTCTTTTGATTCTCTGACTATCTTAACCCAAAATCCCATGCTTGCTTTTGATCTCTCACCTGACTTTACCTAGTTTTGTGACTTGTTCTCATACTTTCTGAATCTGTAATTCAGCTCTATTTCATAATGCCACTTCCTCTTAGGTCTAGTTTACTGTTTCTTTCTCCTGTCTTGCACCTTCCAGTCTAGAATTCTACCTTCTGCATTGACATTGTTGTGTATATGTGTTGGGGGGACTTGGGTGGGAAGAAGAGAGCAGAGGCTGAAGAGGTGTGGAAAGAAGGCAGAACTACCTTAGATTGATAAAAGGGTCAGAGGCCCAAGTTTCTAGGTCATATGCTCAGATGATAGATGCGGTGAGGATGAAAGATGGGTGCTGAACAAATAGTAGCTACAGTCCCTAAGGGTAGGGAGGGCACAGAGAAAAGCTGAAAAACAAGTGATTGCATTTGTCTGGGCTGTGTTTCAGATGAAGAGCTTGAAGACAACCCCAACCAGAGTGACTTGATTGAACAGGCAGCTGAGATGCTTTATGGATTGATCCACGCCCGCTATATCCTCACCAACCGTGGCATCGCCCAGATGGTGAGGCCTCTCTTCACTCACTCATCTCCTGAGGCAGTGAGGGAAACAGATCCTGCAGCAAGAAGTCATGTTTCAGGCTCGGCGCCTATAGCTCAACTGGCTAAGGCGCCAGCCACGTACACCTAAGGTGGCGGGTTCGAATCCCCAGCCCGGACCCGCCAAACAACAATGACGGCTGCAACCAAAAAATAGCCGGGCGTTGTGGCGGGCGCCTGTGGTCCCAGCTACTTGGGAGGCAGAGGCAGGAGACTCGCTTGAGCCCAGGAGTTGGAGGTTGCTGTGAGCTATAATGCCATGGCACTCTACCCAGGGGGACAGCTTGAGGCTCTGTCTCAAAAAAAAAAAAAAAAAAAAAAAGAAGTCATGTTTCAGTGCTATCAAGGAGTCTAGCTGAGAAGAGGGGAGAAACCCCAGACCTTGGGCCTGAATTGAATCCTGATTCAGGGTCATCTTGAAGGGAACACTTTTAGGAAGAGAGACGTGACCTTGGACAGGAGTTGTAGACTGCCTCTCCCTCAAGGAACAAATATTGAATGGTTCTGATGGTCTGTAGCCTGTCTAAGTAGAGAAAAGGCAACAGAAGAATCTGAGTGCCCATTTAGGCCAATGAAAGGACCTTTGGGCAGAGGTGGGAGAAGTAGGGGAGAGAATGATACGGGTTGGGCTAAAGATGGAGTTGCCTCTTTTCTTAACACCTACCTGCCAATTCCTTCCACTTTATTCACCTCAGTTGGAAAAGTACCAGCAGGGAGACTTTGGCTACTGTCCCCGAGTGTACTGTGAGAACCAGCCAATGCTTCCCATCGGTGAGTGTTGAAGAAGGGAGAAGACAGCACCATGTGGCAGTCTTTTTGAAAGTAGTTGGGGCTCAGCAAGTCAGGTCCTGAGTCCTGGAGGGAGGTTGGGTAGGATTGAGAGGTGCCTGGCCTGCTGAGTCTAGCTGTCTCCCAGGCCTTTCGGACATCCCTGGAGAGGCCATGGTGAAGCTCTACTGCCCCAAGTGCATGGACGTGTACACACCCAAGTCGTCGAGGCACCATCACACGGATGGCGCCTACTTTGGCACTGGTTTCCCTCACATGCTCTTCATGGTGCATCCCGAGTACCGACCCAAGCGACCTGCCAACCAGTTTGTGCCCAGGTGGGGAGCAGGGACAGAATTATCAAGGGCCAGAGGAAAGGCCCAAGATCCCTTAGAGAGAAAGGAGGACAATTTCTTGAGGCCTGCTTCTCTCAAAGCTAGGGTATCTTTCTTCCGAGTGAATGTGGGAAAGTTACTTGATTGCCTAGGCTTCAGTTTTCATATAACATAAGGATGGTGGCAATACTTGCCTGATAAAGTATCTTTAGATGTGTAGATTCTTTAGAATATCATTTGACATATGAAGTACCATTTGCAATAGTTCTCATAGTCACCATTTTTGGTGCTAAACCATTTGTCAGGAGAACCTCAGAGCCACAGGTTAAATATCATTTATTTCTCTAGAGCATCATTTTTACCCTGGTATTTGGGAAAAGGTTCAGCTTTTTATTGAAATGAATACTGATGCACATCTCCTGTTATTTGGATTTTAATGGATGTTTAAGATCAGTTTCCAATATTCTTGAGCAAAGAGGTTAGGAACCACTGCCCTTAAGCTTTGAGCAGGCCCATGGAGGAGCTGGGTGGAGTGGTAGGAATGCAGGCCACTGGCAGGACCTGGGTGGGGCTCACTGTGCTTCCTGTCTGACCTCTACCCCTGCCCAGGCTCTACGGTTTCAAGATTCATCCAATGGCCTACCAGCTGCAGCTCCAAGCCGCCAGCAACTTCAAGAGCCCAGTCAAGACGATTCGCTGATTCCCCACTCTACCTGTTCCTCAGTCTTTGACGCCTTCTTTCCTTTGCTGCCACCCTTTCAGGAACCCTCTATGGTTTTTAGTTTAAATTAAAGAAGACATTATTGTGGTGGGAATATGAAATAAAGTGGAAGAAAAGGCTGTAAGCTAGTCTGCTGATGCTTGTGGTTGGGAAGGGAAGGTGGTGGTGTGCTGGACCCCAGGGGCCCTCATGGCTCTGCCCACCCTCCCCATGTTGAACAACAGGAAAGATTTGTGCCTGGTGCATTAGGGTGATGTTTTTAGTCTAGAGCAGGCAAAATTCCTACAGTTGGGTATGGGGAAGTAAAAGGTCAGAAGGAAAACAGAAAAATCAGAGTTAGGAAACTATAGAGAAATATTTGTTTTTTTTAAATACCCATGACTAGACATCTGTTTACAATTTAAGGTGCTTTTTTTTTTTTTAGACAAGAATATTTCTTGGTCACCCTCCGTAGAGTACTATGAAGTCACAGCTCACAGCAACCTCAAACTCTGTGGGCTTAAGCAATTCTCTTGTCTCAGCCTCCCAAGTAGCTGGGACTATAGGTGCCCACCACCACACCTGGCTATTTTTTTTTTTTTTTTTTTTTTTAGAGACAGAGTCTCACTTTATCACCCTCAGCAGAGTGCTGTGGCGTCACAGCTCATAGCAACTGTCAACTCCTGGGCTTAGGTGATTCCGTTGCCTCAGTCTTCCGAGTAGCTGGGACTACAGGTGACCACCAGAACACCGGCTATTTTTTGTTGCGGTTAGGCCAGGGCCAGGTTTGAACCTGCCACCCCTGGGGCAGGTGCCCTACCCTGATCCACAAGCACTGCCCACACCCGGCTATTTTTTGGTTTGAGTTGTTTAACAGGCCCCAGGAGGGGGTTGAACCTGCCAGCCTCAGTGTATGTGCCTGGCACCCTACTCTTGAGCTACCAGCACCAAGCCAATTTAGGGGCTTAATTAGCAACATACCTTTTAGTTTTGGCCTTTTTTTTTTTTTTTGAGGCAGAGTCTCACTTTATCACCTTCAGTAGAGTGCTGTGGCATCATAGCTCACAGCAACCTCACACTCTTGGGCTCAAAGCAATTCTCTTGCCTCAGCCTTCCTGGTAGCTGGGATTACAGGCACCCACCACAGCACCTGACTGTTTTTTAGAGATGGGGACTTGCTCAGGCTGGTCTTGAACTGAGCTCAGGCAGTCCACCCTCCTTGGCCTCCCAGAGTGCTAGGATTATAGGTGTGAGGCTCATACCCCTTAGTTTGGGTCTTCAAAGAGAAAGTAGTCCTAAAGAAAATTATAAGGGGCTCAGCGCTAGCCACATACACCCAAGGTGGCAGGATCGAATCCAGCCTGGGCCCACCAAACAATGACAGCTGCAACCAAAAATAGCTGGGCATTGTGGCGGGTGCACCTGTAGTCCCAGCTACTCAGGAAGCTGAGGCAGGAGACTGGCTTGAGCCCAGGAGTTGGAGGTTGCTGTGAGCTGTGATGCCA